GAATACTGCTCTAAAGAATTCAATTCATACTTGAAAGAAAAAGGCATAACACATCAAACCACTGTCCCCCACAATCCAGCACAAAACGGAGTGGCTGAATGGATGAACAGGACACTATTAGAAACTGCTCGATCGATGATGGCTCATGCAGCCATTCCCACTGAATTCTGGGCTGAGGATGTGAGTACAGCAACCTATATAAGAAACTGAAGTCCTACTGCTGTGATAGAGGTAACACCATTTGAATGTTTCTTTGGATATAAGCCAGATGTGTCAAGCATGAAGGTATTCGGTTGCTTAGCTTATGCCCATATTCCTAAAAGCAAACGGAAGAAATTAGATGCTAAATCCTCAAAATGCATATTTGTGGGTTACCCTGAAGGTACAAAAGGATTCAAATTGTACAATCCAGAAACAAAGTCATTCACCAAGAGCTGAGGTGTAATTTTTGATGAATGGAAGTTTTACAACTTTGACAATAAAAATTCAAACACTACTAATACATTTGAGATGCAGACACCTTTTATGCAAACAGATGATGATAACAAAGAAAATGATGATCGTGCTGTAAGAGAAGATAATATTTTTAATCCTGAACCTAATAATCCAGTGGGAGAAACTTATGAAGAAACTTTTATGCAACAAGTTAAGAATCTGAATTCGCGAAGAGAACGAAGACCCCCTGTTAGATACCCTGATGAAGAGGTATATGTTGCAGATGATCTCACTGCAGATAATAACGAACCCAGGAACATTAATGAAGCATGGTCATGTGATCAGAAAAAGGAATGGATTGAAGCCACTGATGCTGAGTATATTTCACTGATGGAGAATAAAACGTGGGAGCTGGTAGCTTTACCCAGTGGAAAGAATATAGTTGGAAGTAAATGGGTTTTCAAGGTCAAGCGGAATGCTGATGGATCGATTGAGAAATTCAAAGCGTCTGGTAGCCCAAGGATACTGCAAGCTGCGGGAGTTGATTTCCAGGAGGTATTCTCGCCTGTGATACGCAACACTTCAATGAGGTCTTTACTTGCTCTGGCTAACTCTCTGGATTGGGAAGTTCATCAGATGGACGTAAAGTCAGCGTTTCTACAAGGAGATCTTAATGAAGAGATTTACATGCGTCAGCCAGATAGGTATGTTGATAAAGGTAATCCTAATCATGTATGCAAACTGAAAAAGAGCTTGTATGGCTTAAAACAAGCAGCTCGATGCTGGAATTCCTCAATAGATCATTACTTGAAGACAAGTGGGTACAAACAAGCCGATTCAGACCAATGTTTGTATATGAAATCGATCAAAGCAAAGGATGGGAGAATCAATTTTGTCATCCTGTCCATTCATGTAGATGATATTTTACTTTTCTCTAACAATATCGATATGTTAAATAAAGAAAAGTTATTAATTGGCAAACGATTTAAAGTTCAAGACTTGGGTGAAGTGAACTATGTTCTCGGCATGGTAGTTAAACGTGACCGGAAGTCAAGAAAGCTGACCATTAGCCAACCAAAATATCTTGAAGGTATTCTCAAGAGATTTCAAATGGAAAATTGTAAACCCGTCAGTACACCAATGGAAGCAGGAAAACAGTTTTGTGCATTATCCGAAGATGAAAAGCCCATTAATGTTCAAGAGTACCAAAAGATGATTGGATGCCTTACATATGTTTCTACTGCAACACGTCCCGATTTAGCAAATGCAGTTGGAATTCTGGCAAGATACATGTCTAGACCTGGAATGGAACATTTCAAAGGAGTAAAAAGAGTTTAAAGATATATTAAAGGGACTATTAATCATGGTCTAGTATTTAAAGCTAATGAAGAAAAGCAAATGATCATTGGATATTCTGATGCTGATTGGGAAACGATTTGGATACTAGAAGATCAATATCTGGGTATGTGTTTCAAGTCAAAGGAAGTACGGTAAGTTGGTGTAGCAAAAGGCAAACATGTATTGCAAAGTCTTCTACCAAAGCTGAATACGTCGCACTAAGTTTAGCTACACAAGAAATTGTAGGGTTGAAGAAGCTCCTACAAGATGTGAATGTAAGATCAGAAAAATCATTGGTTATTTATGAAGATAACCAAGGAGCTATTGAACTATCAAAGAATGCTAAGTTTCATAACCGCACCAAACATATTGACATTGCATTTCACTTTATTTGAGAGAAAGTTGGGAATGGGTCAATTGATGTGAAGTACTGCCCTACAGATCAAATGTTAGCCGACATAATGACCAAAAGTCTATCCAAGGAAAAATTTATAAAATTCAGAGAACAATTGTGAGTTTCTGAAATCAATTAACTTTAGTCTTGTTTAATAATGATATCCTCAAGTGGGAGTGTTAGGAATGACGATACATTACATATGTCGTTTCGCTTGTGCTTTAACAATAAATTTGACACCAGGGTCCAAAACTATTGAACGGCTATTCAAAGCTTTTTTATACAATTTGTCTCCTTGCAATAAGACATTATCTAATGTTGATTTAGACCACTCTGCAGTTAGAATATTTTCAGCAGTTAAAACTGCCGATAAACTCATGAAAGCACATTGAACGCCTTGATGTAAATTACCATCAATGAATAAATGTGTCATTCTATTCACTTTTTTGCTTATGAAACGTTTTCTCAACTTCTTCATGTGTTTAATCTTACGATATTCAAATTCAAAAATCAATCCCCCTGTTTTCCTCATGGAGCCTGGGAACGGAAGTGGAAAATCTTTCATTTCTCAATATATTTTTTTGGCCAATTGGCAATTGCAACGCATGCAATGCTGGTCATTCATAAAATTTTATAATATTAGGATGGATGCCACCGCAAATGAAGGTACAGTAGCTAATTATATTTGTAATTATTAAACAGTTTTGAGTTTTAACTCCATATTTTCATATAGAAAATAAAGAAGGCAAAGACTTGTTGGGTTATGTTCATACTGTGTTGTCTGTGAAACAGAGCAATCAAACCTCCTATTTTAAAGCTCAACTACAAACATCGCCACAGAAGATTGTTCGTATTGTTTCATTCTCTCCTAAAAAAAAGATCCAAATTCTGGAAACACCAGGATGCAAAATCTGCAGTAAAGATTTCAAACTTCAAGCTGAGCACGAAAAAAGGTTCAAATGATGTGGTCATTAACAACAACACCTCCATTGAATCAGTTCAGGCATTAAACTTTGCACATCAAGAGCTATCTACACCAAACATGTCCACTATATCTTCAGTGCAAAAGTATCTTTAGAACAACTTGTTAGTGTCCATGCTAAAGTTATGAAGTTTTCAGCAGTGAAAAGCCTTTAAACAACTCAAGGTTCTTTGAAGAAGCAAGAAGCTGTTATTGTTGATGAAACAAGCTCAATCAAGTTGGTGTTATGGGAAAATTGTGTTTATTGTCTAGAAGAAGGGAAAACTTACAACTTGAATAACCTTCTCTAACATACTCCTAAGACTGGAGAGTTCACTTTTACAATTGCAGAAGATCTTCAACAGGTTGCAGCCACTGATGATATTAAATTTGAAACTATTCGTACAATAACAGCAACTATTGTTGGTGTTAGCAATGTGACCAAGTCTATGGGTTGTGTGGTATGTAAAGCTAAAGTAGAAGTAAAAGATGGGATGATTGGTGTTTGCAGCAGCTGCAAAGTAAAGCAGAAGACCATGGCATGTAAAGTCAGTTGGTTTGGAAGTATAATTGTCCAAAGTGAGGATAACTGTTCAAATATCCGTCTTGCCATGTTCAACTCTCAGATTGTAAAGTTTCTAAATGTGTTAAGGTCCTCCATCAATCTTGCTATGGCTTCTACCGAAGATCTATCAGATGAAATACTACTCATTAATGATACTTTAAGCATAACATATGATTCTGTAAAAAGCCAACTGGTTGATGTAAACATTGTGGACATTTGAACAGATTTTAACCCTGAAAGGTTTTTTGACTTTGAAAAAACATATGGTTCCTGTTGAAAATGTTTCATATTTGTCAAAAGCGTAAAGTTTAGTTTGTTTAAAAATTTTAAAACAATTCACGATTCTGATTTTGTTCTTTAGGTTGAAATAAAACCACAGCATGATTTCTTGTTTGATTTGTGTCACTTTCTTAAGACTGCTTTTTTGTGAAGCTCATTAGCCTTATTAATTGCAACCTGAGAGGTAACTTAGTCGAATGCAAATCAATTTTTTGCAATAAAACCAATACAATATGATCACAGATCTAATAATACACTAGATAGTGCAACTGACATAAAAGTTGAAGCCGGGCAAATTTACTTCCGGAGCCCCAAAGTTGTGAGAATCAATATGGCGTTGTATTAGAAAATATGTGGTCCAAGTTATTATCTCGCAATTATTAGCAAATCGCGGAGGTTGCATCAACTTTTTTGCACTATTTATGAAATAAATCATTGTGACTATAGTTTGTAAGAAAAAAATTGCAGAATACGCCAATAAATCGCCGTAAAATTGATTTCAAGTGTAGCTCGATTTGAAAGCATCAGCAGCGACTAAGGCTTAAGTACTGGAATTTACACATCTAAATATCGTATCACAGCACAATCTGCGATAGTGTGGCTTAGTTCGTGTGGCAAATACAGCGTTATCATACTCGATCTAAGGATGTATTGTAATAGAACAGGCATATTACAAAAATCAGTCAGAAATTGACACATGTTACGAGCACAAATTAAATATTTTGCTCAGAATAAATAAATTAGGTTTGATATTTTCAATAACAAGAATGTGTAGAAAGTTTTATATGCATATACATGCCTGAATGGTAAAAAAGACAGTAAAAATGTTGAAAACAGTAGCATAACATCACCATAACAGTACATTAAGCACTGTGGGCAGTGGCCATATAACCCACTGGTTTAGACTATGTCAATACATTGTTTATATATATGTGTAAAACACAGTCAAGACTACAAGTCTGGTGACTCTTCTTGCTTTAACAAGTAAATATTTTCCCCGTGTTGGACAGAGTGTATTGTATCAACCTGTGGTATCAACAGTTTCACAAGTGACCTGCATTTTATACTTCACAAAAATTTGGTGTAGCAGAGGTAGACTCATAATATAAAACAAATTCGAAGAAGGAAGACAGACTCTATGACATAGACAAGCAAGACAAGCAAGACATAGACAAGACATAGACAAGCAAGACATAGACTCTTCGAGGTAGACTCTTCACATTCTTTCTGTAAATAATTTCTGAACGTATTAATTACTCACATCTTGACATAGCTATATTCGTTTGCCGACCAGAAACACCAGAAAAATGCATTTCTGGTACAATAATCCAGTGCAATATTTAATTATGTACAGTGAACAATATACTTTATATAAATCGTGAAAAATCTTTCAAACTGTTATCTCCAACTCGTTTTACTTAACAATAAATATCGGAAGATAATTCTACGACGTTCGATTGAACATTTTGTGGCAGATTGTGCTGTGATACGATATTTAGATGTGCAAATTCCAGTACCTTAAGCCTTCGTTGCTCCTGATGCTTTCAAATCGAGCTACACTTGAAATCAATTTTACGGCGATGTATTGGCGTTTTCTGCTATCTTTTTCTTGAAAAACTATGGTCACATTGATTTTTTTCATTAATAGAGTAAACCAGTTTATGTAACCGTCGTGACTTGCAAGTAATTGCAAGATTTCAGCTTTGACCAGATATTTTCTAATACAACGCCATATTGATTCTCACTACTTTGGGGCTCCGAAGTAAATTTGCCCGGCTTCAACCACCACTTATGAAATGTAAGCCGTTGCACTATCTAGTGTATTATTAGATCTGTGAATATGATGCATGGTTTACTCGCCATGTTTAATTGTTGCATTCCAATTTCTATCCATTCGGCGTGCACAAACGACGCACTGTTCACCTTATATGGAGGTGAGTGCTTCAATGTTCAATCGATTCTCGTCAGTCAGACGTTTTCATCATAAAATTAAAAGATAAATTCCTTGCCATTTTGAAAGAAAACATTTTTTTGGTAAATACTATACCTCCAAGATTTTTTGAAAAGGTTTGTGAAGAATCCAACACTTATTTAACTCAACTGATAAATTGAATGCGTGTTTACTTCCGTACGAACAAACAATGGTGACAAGATATACTATACAATAACTATATTTTTGGGCCAATAGCCCGTGAATTTTTGTTTCTAATAAAAATGCATATACAATAACATTTTAGCAATACGCTCCGAACTGTTTTGGTAATTTTACCGAATGGTAAATCAAGTTTCTTGCTTTGTTTGCCTTGCCAGGTATAACCTAGAAAGCTTTACTCCAGTATAACAACTTGAGCAGTTTAGAACTATTCATTGTTTGCAAATAGAGAGTGCATTCCAAAAAACTTCACAGCATTCGGAGGCTTCTCCAGGTTATATAGTTTTTTACGTCCCCCCTCATTCCGTAAAAATCCCCCCGGGAAATGTTGACAGACAGACACAAATCGAGATTTCACATCTATATAGGTCGCGCGGAGGAATAGGCCGAACCATGTCAAGAATAGTGAACAATATGACTCCCTAAATAAACAACTTATAGATTTCAATATTCGCAGTAATGCTGGCAAGGATGTTTCAATGCAGATTAAACAAGTGGAAGACTCACTATACGACCATCACCTCCGAAAGGCCGCCGGAGCACGTTTGATTGCAAGAGAACTTTTGGGCAGAGGAAGGTGAAGTTTCTTCAAAGTACTTCTTTCAATGAGAGAAAGCACATACTAATTTGATGACTGGCATAAAGGATGCACAAGGCCTTATAAATAGAACTTTGACCCAAATGCTTTATATTTGGATGGTCTTCTATACAACGCTGTTCACGGCAACCTACCTCGATGCTGCTGAACAGTCTTTCTTTCCTGACAAGATGTTCTTAAAACTATCTGATTCAGATGCAGCCGTTTGCGAGGGAGAAATCACCTTGGAGGAATGCACTGTGGCATTAAATTCCTTTTCCAGCAACAAATCACTGGGTTGGATGACCTCACATATGATTTTTATAACTCTTTTTGGGATTGTATGGGCCCCGATTTGGTGTCTGTATTTAATGAATCTTTTAATCAGGGCAAAATGTCCTTATTACAACGTACGGGAGCCATCATACTATTATATAAAAAGGACGGCAAATTAGAAGCCAAGAATTGGCATCCCATAACCTTACTTTGCAACGATTATAAGATCCTTGCAAAAGTTCTTACTGGCTGCTTGGCCAAAGTCATTCATTTAGTTATATCCCCATGCCAAACGTGTGGCGTTGTGGGTAGGTTTTCCGGCAAAGTGGTGTGATTGATCCAAGATAGTTTGGACTATGCAAACTCCTTTGATTTAGGGGGAACTTTAATATCTTTGGATCAAGAAAAGGCATTTGATAGAGTAGACTGGCATTTTTTACATCAGGTTCATTCCAACATGAACTTTGGGCCGTCATTTCGGAAATGGGTCCAACTACTCTATACAACTTTATATTCACGAATTTTAATTAACAGTACTCTCGGGGGTCCCCTTTCCATTTCTCGAGGAGTGCGGCAGGGTTGTCCTCTTTTTATCCTTCTCTACGTTCTGGCAGCTGAACCTCTTTCCCGTGCCATACAAGAGTCATCTGAAATCGATGGTTTTCCATTATCTAATGGAGAACGAGTTAAGATCCTCCAATACGCCGATGATACACCATGCTTTGTAGTGACTGAATCGTGCCTTTATGCTATAATAAAACTGTTTGAAAAATATTCCAAGGCCACCGGTGCTGAACTTAAAGTTGACAAGACAGAAGGACTCTTTTTTGGCTCATGGAAATCCCATACAGACTTACCAGTTCAATTGAAATGGTCGTCAGAGTATTTAACTATCCTGGGACGTCGTGTTGGCAATTGTATATTACCGGATTGGGACACACTTGTCGACAAATTCAAAATAAAAATAACATCTTGGTCTTAATATACCCTTTCCCTACAAAGACGAACTCTCCGTGCCAACTCTTTGGGCCTCAGCACTTTTAGGTATCACGCTACGGTTTTTCATATGCCAAAAACAGTCGTTCACACAGTAAATGAAATATTGTTCCCCTTAATATGGAGAAAAAATAAAGAACGTATCGCACGCAGCTCTGCCGCTGCTCGTTGTCTTCGGGGGGGAGGGGGTGGGGTGGGTTGGGCATGGTGCATGTTGGCACTAAAATCTTTTCTTTGAGAGCAATTTGCCTTTGACGTCTTTTGCTTTCACAATACCTTGGCCTTCCTTGTTCTCCTTTCATATACGTCAAAACTTTAAACAAGATCTTGACACTTTCTTCTCTCGCGACACCATTCCTCCCTATTTAATAAAGAAACTGCCCAAATTCTATCAATCCATGGTACACACGTGGATGCAACTGAAAGGAAGACAAGAAGATAATTCGTGGTTGGTGGGCAACAATGACACCCCTCCCATTCCACTGGCAGAACTCACTACCAGACACACATATTCCATACTGCTGGAAAGAACTTTGGCACCTCGTAAAGCTATAGAAAAATTTGAAACCATGCAGATTAACTTCCACTGGCCATCTGTGTGGCGTTCGCTTCAACTATGGCAATTCGTTCGATCAGTAGCTAACACTAATTATTATAACTTTCATGGCCACCTTGCCACCACGGACCGCTTGCTTTGTTTTGGTATGAAAGTCGAAGAGTAATGTTTTTGTGGAAAGCAAGAAACTGCTATTCATCTTTTTGCCATTGTCCGATTGCTAAGACTGTCTGGGAGTGGACCACCACTTATCTCATGTTGTTGGAACTTCCCACCCCATTGAGTATATCACATCATTTTCGGATTTTCGGAGGGAACAAAGACCTCGGCGGCTGTGAATGCCTTCTTTGGCATTGTCCGACACCATCTTTGGCTTCACCGCAGTCGATGTCATTTCAACGGTCTCTCTCCAGATGCCTCCTCCGTATTATGGATGGCGAAGTCAACGTTTCGATTTGCGGTGAAAATCGCGCACTGTCGCAGTCCTATGACAAAGTTGGAAGATGAATGGTTACTTTGTGGTCTGGTTGGACCCATTGCGAAGGACAACACCATATGCTTTTCAGCAGAAATAATGTCTTGAACGTTAGTAATTTGTGGGATGGGTGCCAAAGGGGGTCGCCTTGAGTGGTTGTACTGCCGGATAGCCCATTCCGTTGTACGTCGTTTAGATTGCGAAAAGGCAGCGTGCTGTCCTTTACAATCTCTTGTCTCGTGGTTTTAGTTTGTTTTGTCATCGTTCTGGTGTGGTGAGGGTCCCCTTTATTGGAAGTACTGTCATTTGTGCTAGAACTTAGCATCGTAGAGATCCTAGATCTTTCCAATTATGTTCTCTGTTGGTTTTGTCGAAGGGGGAGAGGCATATAACCTCTGTCGATCTGCGTCGCTTGTAGCGGCCTCCCTGAGTGTTCCGGTCTTGCACATATGGGTTTGTTGTCATTGCACACCCCGACTTCGTAACCTAAATGGTCCCCACCCAAAACAAGGTCAAGTGTAGAACGCCGGTTCCACCTTTTTTTGCCCTCTGTTTCTATAAAATTTTCACAGTAAAATTTTGTTATTAATTTTGGTATCAAAATACTGATAAAGTTCTGATCTTTCTTTATATCTTATTGATTTTTCATATAGATAACGTTTCATCAAAGAAATTTCGGCTTTTATCGCGAAGTTTGCATTGACTGCTGATTATAATTAAATTCAATCGACGGGAACTATTACACTCAAAGTTTCTGGAGTTTTTCTAAAGTTCTGCCACTTGAAATTTATATAAGAAGATCGCTGGGTAACTTCTAAACATTTTTGGAAAGTTTGGAAACTATATATGTGCTATACTTTTGGAGAATCATCGAATTTCTATATGTTGCATGAGTACACTATCTCAACATCAGAATATATAATATCGTGGGTTATAAACGAAATCACCGTTTTCCCCAAGATCTATTTGAATTTATACAATTCTTTCTTTATCTACTGTTATATCATTATCATATCTATGATTAAGATCTTCTTGTAAGTATAAAAACGAAGAATTATCATCGTTTCATAGAGGAATTGAAAGGAAAAGTCTGTTGCAGTTTGTATATCGGTTGCTACAGTTACGATTTTTAAAACTCTAAATGTGCATATATTCGATACAATTATTGTCAGAGAATTCCCCATTTTATTTAACATCAATTTACTGGTTTATCTCCGTTGCAATCGTTCTATTAATCTCCAGTATATGCAGCCACCTTGATAATATGAACTTTCAGTGCAATCAGTGTGATTATACCACAATAAACCAACACAGATTGGGAGTCCACATTGTTAAAAAGCATGATCCAGTCATTCCATCTGATTGCAACTCAGTATCAATCGTCAGAACCTTCCCCGAACGAAAACAATTCCACTGTTGCCTATGTGATACTTTCATAGGTTCTTGTAATAACCTAACGCGACATTTCAAGTCAAAACACGCTCACATCAACATCGACGCCTCAGCAATGTGCATCATCTGTAATAAATACTTTCCAACAGCAAAAGGGAGCATTAAATCTGCTATGATGTTTGGTAGCTGTGTTTGGTCAAATACAACAAAAGATAACTTGGATCAAATTACAAAATTACAACAGAGAGCAGCTCGCGTAATTCTAGATGCCTCAACACGCGATAGAAGTATTCCACTCTTTTCCAAATTGGGCTGGATACCTTTTAGTAAGGAAGTGGAAATTAGAAAGGCCATGATTTGTCATAAACGTTTCTATGGTAACTGTCCATCTTATATTATTGATATTCTACCAACAAATGCCAGTCGCCACAATGGAAATACTCGTTATAAAGACTTAACTATTTGTTTACCCAAAACGAAGAGACAAAATGATGGTGGGCGATCTTTTGCTGCTACTGCAAGTCTATTTTGGAACAGTCTACCTCTTACTATGCGTAAACTTTCATCAGCTACACTTTTAAAAAGAAACTTTATGATAAAGCTAATTCAGATATGCTCATAGAATAATTTATTATTTAGTTTTTTAGTATTTTTAGTCTTGTGTAATTCTGGTTTTTAAATTGTAATTAATCTCGTAGTTTGTTAGTTTGAGGGCCACAAGTTTTTCACACATGTTGTGTCACGTGTTACCCTCTTTTAATAAAGTTTAATCAATCAATCAATCAAAAAAGGTGCAGGTGCCCATTGCAAGAGAGAACACAATATTGGTTCCAAAGATAAATATACCAATACATCCACACCTGTATACTCATACGTAAACCAAAGGACAAAACACCACAAAACAAAAAACACATCAAAACAAAACATGTCAAAGTCACTACTCATCAATGATTCATTGCCCATATACATAAATTCACCTACCTCATCATCATCTAATATTAATACACTGAAACAAAGCCGCATTAACACAATCCTGACAACAGAAAATACCAAAGATCCACACCCACAACCACTATTATCACACCCTCACTCCAATCAAACAACAACTCCATCAACTGATCAATCTTTTCCACTACCCATGAGATATGAGCCATCTACCGCAAACTGCTTAAGTACATCAACACAAGATAACAACCTAACACCATAATCCTTTGTACAAACCCATCTCAACGACACACTTATACCACAAATCATGATTTCCCTCACCCTCAGCAACCCATTCAATCAAAATAAGTTTCCAGATATAACACATCTCACTTCATCACAAACAACACCAAAACTTAATAAAACACCCACACCTCCACCAACACTCATCGACCTTCCACTGGATAATGATGAACATGAGTCTAGACCACAATCTAACTGCCAAACACAATTACACTTCACACCAACACACAACACACCAAATAATCAAATCTCCCCCTCACATAATAATTCCTCAACCAATCAAGACAATTAAAGCAATTTTAACATAACCTTTTCTTATACACAACCACCAAATGGCATAAATGTAACAAATTGTCAAAACCCCACAACATTTGTTGATAACTGCCAGAGTCGTTTTGCAACATCAATGACTTTTAACGATTTTGAACGTAAATCCGTCCTCTTCTCCGTCGAAGTGGTCGAACTTGGGAAATTTTCATCTTCCAATAACAAAAACAAACGTTTCCAGTAAGAAACCCAAATATTCAGAAGAAAGGTGACAGTGATGCACCCAAAAATTTCAGACCCATAGCGCTAATGCCTTGCATATCCAATTGAAGCAAGACACCACCAAACACTTTTTACAAACTTTCCAAAAAACGTGCAACACGAAATATAATAAAGTAAATGGTTTGAACCCGGGAGTATTCAGAGTCAAAAGATGACTACCGCTAAGGTTGTCGAAATGTCAGTCAACCACAACAAAAACAGTCCTTCTCAGGACTTTATTAACCTGGACGATCATCATTTACAAACATGTAACGAAATATAATGAAGGACAACACCATAAACTACTCTGGCTCCAAAGAATGAGCAGAATCTTTTTTCGAAAACACATTTCAACAAAGAGATATTGATACAGAAACACTACTTTAATTACTTAAAGAACAAGTTCCCAGAACTAACACCAATCCCAACATCACTGCAGAATTCACACAATAAGAGATGCTACACAAACTAAAATCAATGTCCAATTCAGCTCCAGGAATGGATAGAGTGGAGTAAAGACACCTCAAATTAGTAGACCCTAAGGCTGCGTTTACACGGTACCGGATAAGTTTTAATCCGGATTAAATTTGTGACGGATAGGCCCTGCGTTTACACGGATCCGCTCTGATCCGTGCAAGTTTTGTGTCGACTAAGCGGTACAATTTTGTACCTGAAAAATCGAGGTACAATTCTGTGCCGGTACTGTTCCATTCTATATCAGTTACCGTGTAAACGGTTTAACCAGGTAAGTTTTTAACCGTTTTCACTGGTATTCGACAAAACAGTGAGTCAGTGCTCAGTCAATATTTTTTTAATACTGCATTTTCCAACATGAGACAGATTCTTATGAGCATTTTTGCATTTATTTTTGGTGCTGTGGCGACGTTGAACGTTGTTTATGAACTGGCGTTGGTAAATTTGGTAAATTATCGAAGGCAAAGACAAAGGTAAACGCTTGATGACAAAGGAAATATGTCGTTCTTTGCATCTAAAATACAGCATAAGTTTTGCATTTACGTCAGAAAATAAATAACGCAGTATTGTAATCCACACATATTATGACAAAACTTACTGGCTTATTCACTCAAAAGTTTGCTTCATTTATTTTCAAAATGACGTTCAATTCTCTTTTAAGGTATGCTACATTGCTGACACAGTCGTCCATCGTTAGAGGGAAGAAAATAAAAAGTAAAAGAAAGGCAAAAGGATGTTGGGTAAGACCTGGGAGAACATCTCTGTGGTGGGAAAATTTCTTATCCGGTGCTGTAGTAGGTCATGAATGGAGAGAGAACTTTAGGATGTCACAAAACAATTTCTTGAAACTGTGCAACAAAATCAGAATCCCACTTCAAAAGAAAGTCACGAATATGCGTGTTCCTACATCTGTTGAGAAGCAAGTTGCTATGACTTTATACTATCTTGCTGATGAAGGAAGATTACGAAAAGTTGCAAATGCATTTGGCGTTTCCAGATCAACTGTATCGTTGGCTATTAGAAGAGTATGTTTTGTAATTGCCACTGTATTAGGTCCTGAGTACATCAGATTACCTCAAACAGAACATGATGTATTTGAAGCTGTCTCAAATTTTTATGAAAACATGGCTTTCCACAATGTATTGGTGCTGTAGATGGCACTCATATCTTCATTAAACAACCAGCCAACAATGCAAGTGATTTTATCAATAGGAAGCATAGATATTCACTGAATGTGCAAGCTATTGCAGACTACAAGTATTGTTTTCTAGATGTTGTGGTCAAATGGCCGGGAGTGTGCATGATTCAAGGATATTTTGTAACTCAAAAGTAAATGAGATGTTAAAAGAAGGTTCAATTCCCAGTTTGCCAAGAGTCTTATTGCCAGGCACTGAACCTGTTGGAATTTGCATTCTTGGAGATCCGCATATCCTTTACTCCCTTATTTGATGAAGGAATTTCCTGGTGGGGCAAGACTGCACAGGAACAATTTTTGGGTATCGACTTTGTTCAGCCAGAATGATTATTGAATGTGCCTTGGACGCCTGAAGAGTAGATTTGGGTGTCTGAAGCGTGAAATGGACATAAACCTTGCTGATTTGCCAAATGTTATTTACAGCTGTTTTGTATTGCACAATTATTGTGAAATGAATGGTGAGATAATAGCTAATGAAAGAGTAGATAATGCAATAACTTATGACAGAGAAGTTCAACCTGCATCTTCAAGTGTACGGAATCAAGGATGTGAGGCTTCAGCAAAGGCAGTAAGAGACATTTTGTGCAGTATTTTGATTAGAGATTATATCTACAAACACCTTATTGAACAGACTTTACTGATAATAATATACTTGTACAAAGATGATTTAATTGTTCTTGTACATACAATAATCCATTAGTTGCATTTTAAGTAATAAAATTATTGGAATAAAACATGACAAAAAAAGGCAATTTAAAACTGTTTAAAATTATATAAGTACTTTGTCTAAAAAATATATTCATAACAATAGTTTTTGTGCAATATTTAAGCAATGTATTACATTAGATTAAACAATGGCAACCCAAACACTAACAAATGTACGTTGAAGTATACCTATTGAAAGAATAGAAATCCTGGTTCTATGACTTTGAAAACGGTATAAAATTATCATTGGCATTATTATGGCTAGACTCGCCATTGTTATTAGTTGACATAGCCGCTTGTTGGTATCTCCATCTGATTTGGTTGCTGTTGAAGTGATGCAAGCAATGCAAACCCATGACTTAGTGTATCATTAAGTGATGAAATTCCTTTGGCAAACGCAGTCATGTTTTCTTGGTGCTTCTGTTCAGCTTTTTCCATTTGTTCCACAATCCTGTTCTTAAGACTTAAATCTTCATTCGCCATGGCTATCATCTGTTTCTCAGCAGGTATTTTCTTATTTAACTTTGAATTTTTCTTTTGTTGTACTTTTGAGATGAGATTCCTTCTAGCTTCACTTACCCTACTTATTGCATCAGTATTTAAAATCTCTTGTTGAGCAGAATTGTTGAGTGTTTCACTGCTTACATCAGAAAGCTGAACACACGATTTATTTGATACTCCAGAAAGAGAGTCTTCGGAATCACTGACAGTTTTGGATGTGCTTGGTATGCTTTCTCGAGCATTCGATATTGCTTCTACTGCTGGGCTCCCACACCCAATACTAGCACATTCATCGTATAAAACAGCTACAACTCTACCGCCTCCGCTGCGTCTTCCAGAATCAACTGCTTTTCGAAAACAAAGTTTAATTCTTTTGGTTTTAGCTATTATTCGACTTTTGGTAAAAACGCTTGATATCGTATCATTAACATGTGGAAATCCTTCTGAATTTTCTATGGGATAACGCTCGAGGTATCTTTCGCGAATTTCATCGTATTTCGATTTAACAGACTCCAGTCTACACCTTCATTTTCTTTATCCACCTTATACGCAGCAATCACATCAAGAAGAAGAGCCATCTCCTCGTCCGACCAAGTAAAATTCTTTTCTTCTGACTCGGACGATTTTTTCCTTTTAGCAACGGTAGCCATTTTTCTCTCATGCTATCATTGCACATGCGCGGTACTCGAAACTTTTATTTCTCTCATAAATGTACCAGTTCCTTGTAAACAGAACGAATCCGTCACAAATTTAATCAGGATTAAAACTTATCCGGTACCGTGTAAACGCAGCCTAAGTGTCAAATTCTCGCCTTTATCTTCAATAGATGCATGTCAGAACACAAATCCCTCAACCAGGGTTGTTAGTTTGGCCTTTTTGAGGCCAAATAACTCGATTTTGGCCTTTTTTCTCTTTCTTTGGCCTCGAAATTGTTTTTTGGCTATTTGGCTACTTTTTGGCCTCTTTTTACTCAAACAATTTTTTTAAAATTTTTATTGAGCTTTATTTGTAAAAATCTCTTAAATCAGGGGCGGATCTAGGCCATGGCGAAAGTGGCTTGAGCCACGGTCAGAATTCTGCCACTTAAGTTTTTCCATGGTTGACTTTTTCATGATTAAAAATTTTGCTCAAATACTACATCAAAATTCGATCAAAAGCAAAAATTGAATGAATTTTGTAATTTTTTTGTCAAAAATTTGTGTTAACAGAACAAAAACTTCAAATTAAACGTCTTGTTAAAATAGTATTATCATCCAGTTAAACTCTGAACTGTAAAATCACCGAAAGCCTCTCGAATCTTGCCGAATACGCCATGAATATGCTCGGAATATGTTCGTAAATTCGAACCTGCAATCTCAGAATGAAGAGCCACGGTCAGCGTTCAGAAAATTTCGCAATAGTTGCTAAATATAGTAACCTTCAGCCACGGTGCAGCGTTGCAAGCCAATCACAGGGAACGTTTTGGTCATGTGCGCCACGGTGAGCCACCGTGAATGTATTTTGATTGCGCAATAAATACAAGTCATATGCAATAGCTCGGTTCTTGTCGACTTGAAAAAACGCTACTTCTAGTTCTACTCAGCGATTAGGATCAATGGAAGCTTTTAAAAAGATCGATGTTCTTGAAAAGCTCGTCCAAACCTTTCAACAAGAGAACGCTTGCGACATGATTTCTGGTGAATTGTCTAACTTGAGACAACACTGTGTTAAAATAATCAACGAGGAAAGGCTTCGTCGTATAAATTCTACTGGCGATATTATGCTACGAACTTGTTTATTTTCAAAAATGCAGTTCCCTGAAAGCCAAATTGAAAGATCAGGACCCAATGTCCCTGTTAGGTAAGAATTTACATGTATTGGGGTATTAATTTATATTTTTATTTACGTTTGACATCTTGCCCTGAAATATATGATCAATCCGTTAATTTTCAGCTATTCATATTTAGTGTATCATGTAAAATATATGTCTAAAGCTGTCATTATTTTGCATACTCAGTCTGTCTAATGTACAGCCTAAATAATTTTAATTGTTACTGTCTGTTAAAAAATGTTTTACTTCAATATTAGTCAAAGCTAGTCCTTTTAAAATTTAACCCAATCAATAATGTATTATCCTTGTATTCCTGGCATTTTATGTTATCCCCTGGTTAAAGAAACTAACATATCATTTTGAATAACTGTTACTTTCTTTCACGGGTTATATAGAATATTGATGCTATAGCAGATGGAATCAATAAGTCGTCTGAATCCTGTTCGACATGCCTAGACTAGTTCCAAATCTTAGACTACCTGCCTGTGACTTTGACTTTATCATGATGCTACCAAAGTAACACAAAGACAAAATAACTTTCTCAATTTCAATATTATTAGTCTATCTTTAACTGTATTGGTTACCCTTATTTATTCTAATGTCAGAGTCAGTCTAGCAAATTTGTTTCCAGGTATAGCTTGGAATAACAAAGCAGCCATTAATACTTAAATACTAATTTTTCTTTTAGTACTTTAGCCAATGGGAATTGTCTGTTCAATGCATGTTCTATTGCATTAGTTGGGAATGAGAGTCTCTCTATTTACTTGAGATTCCTAACTAGTGTTGAAATGTTTGAAAATGCAAAATACTATTCTACCCATCCTGTCATCGAGTCCCAGCATAAAAATGGTGCGTTCACTTCACTTAAAAATGCCTTTGCCATGTGTATATCCGATGCAGCTCTAACCTCTTTAGAAAATGTGAATGAAATTGCAGCAGTTTTACAAGAAGCAGTGGAAACAGCAAATAATTACACCTTTTCATCCTTGATGTGTATGTTTGCTTTGTCCACAGTAATCCAGTGTGCTATTCAGTCATACTACCCAATTACTAATGATGCTGAAGTGAAAGGAAATTGGGATTCGTTGGCTAAAATGTTCAATTGTACAATATATCCAAGAGATTTTGTTGATGGGAGTGCAATTGACTATGTCCATATCTTTCGTTGTACTGCGATGCCACCTTCTTATTTGGTAGATCAAAAAATCCCATCCACCAAAAATCATTTTGTTACTTTGTGCAAACCAATTGAAGCACTTCAGCCCGGAGACCATTATTTTAAAACACACATTCCAACTTTATTAAAGTCAGCTATGCCAATATGTCATAAAGTTCCCTCGGCTCCTAAAGTTTTTTCTGCTCCGTCCTCTTCAAAAGAAGCTACATCCACCAAAAAACAGACGGAAGTTGCAAAACGAAAGCAAAGTAGCTTAGATACTCTCCTAGTGAAACGAATTTGCCAAACAAAAGAAGCTGAAGATAATCAAGTCAAACATCCTAGCACTATTACATGTGAAGGAATTTCATCCGTAACTTCCAACAGCGGTCATACTTCAACTTACACTAATTCGCGGGCAGATGATACTTACAACTACATAAATCCGGTTTCCAATCTTTCTGATTCAAAAAAGTACGAAATTCTATGCAATCATTGGAAACCTGGTTCTGATTACTCTTTCCCCCCTCACGAAAGTACTGGAAGACGTTTTCAGTTTGCATGGTTATCTCGATTTCCATGGTTGGCTTACTCTGCTGTGGAAAACGGTGGTTTTTGCGTCACTTGTGTTCTGCTTGGCGGTGAAAGCACGCATAATGCAAGTAAGCTCAAACGTTTGGTGGTAAGTGCTCTTCCTCCAAGTGCATCAACCCTTCAGAAGTTATCTCGACATGGCGAAAAATCTATTGTTCATGCAACTGCAATTCTCCGTGCTACACATTTTAAGCAATTTATTGAGAACAAGACACTTGGGATCGATGTGCAGGTGAATACTGCCAGGAAAGAACTTATTAAAAAGAATCGTGCACGACTTCGCCCAATTGTCGATTGCATCATTACGTGTGCACGCCAAAATCTAGCGTTAAGAGGTCATCGCGATGATGCTCACTATTACCTTGATGGAGAAGATCCCGCTAACCCTGGAAACTTTATTGAAATATTAAAGTATGGCGCTCGATGTGGTAACTTAATGGATGTGCTTTTTGAAAACTGCCCTTCAAACCAAACCTATAGATCAAAAACCATACAAAACGAAATAATAAATATATGTGGCGAGTTAATAACTGAAAAAATTGTCGAAGAGATTAAAGATGCGAAATTTTTTGCTATTTTGGCAGACGAAGCTACTGATTGTTCCAACGTAGAACAGATGGCCATTGTTTTGCGGTTCATAGACAATAATTTTAATGTGAGGGAAGAATTCCTCGGTTTTATTCCATGCATGAAAGGTCTTTCTGGTGAAGCTCTATCCACTGAAATAAAAAATTTCATTCAAAGCTTCCGCCTACGTATGGAAGAATGTCGTGGTCAGGGCTATGACGGCGCTGGAAATATGGCAGGAAAATTTTCTGGAGTTGCTGCCCGAATCATACAGGCGTACGATAAAGCCGTATACGTGCATTGTGGTTCACATATACTAAATTTATGTGTTGCATCTGCTTGTTCAATAGACATGGTGCGTGAAATGATGAACAATGTCCGTCAAGTGTCAGACTTCTTTAATAATTCTCCAAAAAGAACCATCGTCCTTAAAGAGAAGATTAAAGAAATTTATCCACAAGCCAGTCATGAGAAGCTTATCAATGTTTGTCGCACAAGATGGATGGCCAGAATTAATGGCCTTTCCATCTTTCGCAAAGTTTATTTGGCTATCTTGGCAGCACTAGAAGTGGTAAGAACAGACAAGTCAAACGATCATGATACGTGCTACAAAGCGGGGGGGATGATCACAGCCATTAAGTCTTTTCAGTTTATCGTTTGTCTTGTAGTCGTCGAGCGTTGCCTTAAATGCACCCAGCCATTAACTTTGCAACTTCAGTCTGCTTCCCTTAACGCTGGGAAAGCTCCTGAAAAAGTTACTCTCCTCTTTTTGACCATTAACGAACTTCGCATGGACATTGACGCGGTCCATTCGTCGTATTACGAAATGGCGGTTGAATTAGCTAAAGGAGGAGGAGTGAAACCTTACAAGAAGAGGACAAGTGACCGTCAAATGCACCGAGTCAACGTGCCTGCGGACAGCACGTTAGAATACTACAAAAGAGCTTTGACGATTCCTCTCCTCGATCATCTTGTAGGGCAGTTACAATCAAGATTTTCAGATGGAAATCTCGACGCATTTGACGCCATGTATGCTTTGCCAAGTTACGTCACCAGTGAACCTAAGTGGGCCGAGCATTTTTCTCGTTTTTTGAATAAGTATAAAGATGACCTACCGTCACCTGATTTTCTTGAAATGGAGTTAAGAATGTGGAAACTTTTCTGTTACAACTACAAGTGTCCGCTTCCAAATTCCATACAAGAGTTGCTTCCTTTTGTTGATGTTCATTCATTTCCAAATGTACAAACTGCCTTCAAAATATTTGCAACAATTCCAGTGACTACATGTAGCTGTGAGAGATCGATTTCAACTCTTCATCGATTGAAAACCTTCATGCGAAGTACCATGGGAGAAAAAAGATTATCGTCACTAGCATTATTAAATGTTCATCAAGAAATTCACCTTAATATCGACAAAGTAATCGATCGTTTTGCACTTAAACATCCAAGACGAATGGTATTGGCAGATCTTTTAAATAGCGATCCGTGATGAGAAAGATAAAAAGCAATCTTTACGATTGTTAGATAAACGTCTTTGCTGTTGTTGGAAGAAGACCACCTTTGAACATTGCTTTTATTAATCTTGCAATCTTTAAGATTGTTGGATAAACATCTTTGCTGCTGTTGGAAGAGGACCACCTTTGAACATTGCTTTTATTAATCTTGCAATCTTTACGATTGTTGGATAAACATCTTTGCCGCTGTTGGAAGAGGATCACCTTTGAACATTGCTTTTATTAGTCTTGCAATCTTTACGATTGTTGGATAAACATCTTTGCTGCTGTTGGAAGAGGACCACCTTTGAACATTGCTTTTATTAATCTTGCAATCTTTACGATTGTTGGATAAACATCTTTGCTGCTGTTGGAAGAAGATCACCTTTGAACATTGCTTTTATTAGTCTTGCAATCTTTACGATTGTTGGATAAACATCTTTGCTGCTGTTGGAAGAGGACCACCTTTGAACATTGCTTTTATTAATTTTGCCATCTTTACGATTGTTGGATAAACATCTTTGCTGCTGTTGGAAGAAGACCACCTTTGAACATTGCTTTTATTAATTTTGCCATCTTTACGATTGTTGGATAAACATCTTTGCTGCTGTTGGAAGAGGACCACCTTTGAACATTGCTTTTATTAATTTTGCCATCTTTACGATTGTTGGATAAGCATCTTTGCTGCTGTTGGAAGAAGACCACCTTTGAACATTGCTTTTATTAGTCTTGCAATCATTACGATTGTTGGATAAACATCTTTGCTGCTGTTGGAAGAGGACCACCTTTGAACATTGCTTTTATTAATTTTGCCATCTTTACGATTGTTGGATAAACATCTTTGCTGCTGTTGGAAGAAGACCACCTTTGAACATTGCTTTTATTAATTTTGCCATCTTTACGATTGTTGGATAAACATCTTTGCTGCTGTTGGAAGAGGACCACCTTTGAACATTGCTTTTATTAATCTTGCCATCTTTACGATTGTTGGATAAACATCTTTGCTGTTGTTGGAAGAAGACCACCTTTGAACATTGCTTTTATTAGTCTTGCCATCTTTATGGCTGTTAGCAAAAGCATCCTTGCTGCTTTGAAAAGACCATTTGATGGGGCAACAATGATGGGGAATTATATTTTGCAGTGAACTGTCTTTTGGTTATTCACTGCAAAATAACATGCTTCATCTTTCTCTCTCCTCCTGCGGCAACAATTCTGTGATTACAGAAAGGTACGGAAACTGCGTTGAGTTTACATCAGACACCACAAGGTAAGTAAAATTTTTATTTTTCTATCCGAACAGAATTAAAAAAATGGCGATATTAGAATTTTTTTTAGATGAGTTTATAGACCCCCCTAGCGTTGCCTCGCGCCGAAGGCGCTTGCTACGTCACAGGGCCACGGTCAGCCCAGAAGCTGGATCCGCCCCTGAACATGAACCCAACAAAATTGACCTGAGTCCCGTTGAGTCACCTGAATTTATCAGGTTCAGGAGACAATTGCTTAAATTGTCCAGCAAAGTGTGAAGATCATATCTACATTTAATTTCAAACACCGCACTGCAACTCCAACACTTTCAGTGGGGCATTTTTGAAACTTTTCATTAAAAGATGCAACGTTTTTAACCATGTCCTATCACATGGAAAAGAATTTGCCTTTTGAGTAATGGTTGATGAACATGCCTTTCGTCCAGTGTCGTATGCAGCACAAAGATTTGCTAGCTCCTCGTACAACCAGTGGGTGAAAATATGAGAAAAGTTTTGGATCGTTTTGGAAAGCATTTGATCTGCTTCACCCTATTCGAAGTGAGGATGAGGAATGGCAGTATATGATTGCTGGCTCAGATTTTGTTGCAGACTTGTTGGCCCTACTTGATATCCTAGGTCACTTGGTTGACCTTATGCTTTGTGTACAAGCCACTGATTTGATAATAGACTGGATATAGCTTCTACAGGTAGCAAAAGTAAAGCCTAGTTATATATGCAAAATTCACTTCCGGGTACCACGGCGAGATACAAATTACTATAGAAATGTATGGCGGATAACGTTTACAAACATGGATTTTCGAATATTTAAGACTCCTTACTAACCTCAAGTATTAGTCATGGATAAGACAGGTTATGCGAATTGAATTGACATCAAAATGATTCCAATAGCTGTAAGACTGATTTACATCCAATAGCTGTAAGATTGATTTACATCGACATTGGTGTTGATTTAGAAGTTGTACATGCAAGAATATATTTTGTCCCATTGTTGCCAATGCAAAATAGTTCACTGCTCGCTTTCCAATTTCTGAGGCAGTTATGATCTAGTATATGTTTCAATTTTTTAGAAATGAGGTAAGTAATTTTTTTTATGATTCTTTCTTTATGTTGAGAGATTGTTGACGTTTTATTTTTTCTGTAACTTCATTTTTCATGAGCAAAGTACTACTGATGCTTTAATAAGACAAGTTTATTTAGTTTCTTTCGCACTTTATCGTTAGTTTTCATTTCTGTAGTTGTTTTTCTCAAATGGTATGGTCGCACTTTGCGCTTAATTGCTTAAAGAAGTATGATTTTCATTGACATTAAAATCTAACAAATGTGTTCTACACACATTAGGACACTTTAGTAAACTGCTTTTGAAACATCAAGGTAATGTAGCCAGCCAGGTATGGATTTGCAGGCCCTTTAAAAGTACAAAAGCTGTGTGCATTGTTTAATCTTTATAATCATCTTGGTTTTGGTTTGTCCCTTAAGCAGATTTAAACTATTAACAGCAACATAAGACTGTGTCCACAGTTTATAATTATAAATGTATCCAATTGTATCCAGTATATCAGTTTCACATTGTCTTGTGCTAATTCCTTTACAGCCATGAATACTGCTTCTCAGCAACAGTTTATTGTCTACAGCTGTAAATTGGTCAATGGTTTGATTGCTAGTCACACGTTACAAGTGGAATAAAGCTCTTGTCTTTCTTAATACTACAAGACTTGAGACTGATGATCAAACTATTGCTGAAAAGGATTCTAATGTCAACTGCAATTCATATTCATACCATCTCTAACTACATTCATATCTTAAGAATAATTTTAATTTTTTGGAAAAATATTTAAGGCATTAATATTACATTCATACTAACTATGATCTTCTGGAATTTGCTTAGCACTTAGAAGAGGAAAATGAAATTTACTGAATGTAAAAAGGCAGTAATATCGTACATGGCTGGCTATATTGGCCAGATGATGCAAAAGAAAATAAACTGTGCTGTTTGTCATGAAGCAGTCGATTCAAGAAACCATAAAAATGAGTCTGCTTTCCTGACTTTAAAAGACAGGGGTAATTTGTTTAAGCCAACAGCAAGTGTTATAGTAATATGCAATGAAACAGAAGTGCTGTCAGCGAATGTTGGCAGCTACAAATGGAAATTTACCGCAAGGGAAAAGAATTCCTGATGGTATTGCTGTGTCTGTATTAAATGGTATAGATTTGAGGACCACATTCAAGGATCTCAATGCACACATGTTGGATACTACTGTTCACGAAAATGATATTTACTTATTAAGACCGTATCTAAATTCTACAGTAAGGTGCAACCCTACCATTTGGGAAAAACAACTACAGAAATGGAAACTAAAGATAAAAGGTGAAAAACTAAATAAACTTGCTATTAGCAAGATTGTTGTAAGTAAGTAGACAATTAAATGCAACATCTCAAGTTTTAACTTTTAAAGTAAAAATTTCTTTCTTAAATTATTTTTGTATTTCCTCTAGATAACTCCTTGTGTATTTTGTGAGGGATTTAGCACATGGGAGGGATTTAGCCAACACTGGGCAAAATATGCGAGAAGTTTTGATGAAAATAGTTTGTTGGACTTCTAATGGTTGTACTTCTGACAGTAAGCTTACATTTAGGCCAAATTTCTGAAGAACTTTGTAAGCTTTAACAATATGCACCATATTTTAATCCTAGATGTGTCCATAACATTGAACTAAAATACATGGAATGCTACTTGAAGCAAAAGCTTGAAGCCAAATCGTACACCCAGACATGCATTGATAGTGTTTCAAGATTCTGAAAATTGATTGGGCTTGGGTGTAAGATTTGGCTTAAAGAAATTATTAATTTTTTCTATTACAGGTAGCGTTCTATGTTTTTAGTTAAATGGTCCCAAAACACCTTTTAGGTTAGACATTTTCCTGCACAAACTATTTCACAAGTGCTTCTTCGTGGCGCAATTATCAATCAAAAAATGACTCAACGGGATTCGAACCCATGACCTTATGCAGTGCGGTGTTTGAAATTAAATGTAGATATGATCTTCACACTTTGCTGGACAATTTAAGCAAATGTCTCCTGAACCTGATAAATTCAGGTGACTCAACGGGATTCAGGTCAATTTTGTTGGGTTCATAAGACAATTGCTTAAATTGTCCAGCAAAGTGTGTAGATCATATCTACATTTAATTTCAAACACCGCTGCTAGGTCATTCGAATCCTGAGTCATTTTTGATTGATAATTGCGCCACGAAGAAGCTTGTGAAATAGTTTGTGCAGAAAATGTCTAACCTAAAGGTGTTTTCGACCATTTAACTAAAATACATGGAACGCTACCTGTAATAGAAAAATTAATAATTTTAAGCCAAATCTTACACCCAAGCCCAATCAATTTCAGAGTCTTGAAACACTATCAACGCGTGTCTGGGTAATGATTTGGCTTCAAGCTTTGCTTCAAGTAGCATTCCATGTATTTTAGTTCAATGTTTTGGACACATCTAGGATTAAAATATGGTGCATATTGTTAAAGCTTACAAAGTTCTTCAGAAATTTGGCCTAAATGTAAGCTTCTCGCATATTTTGCCCAGTGTTGGCTAAATCCCTCCCATGTGCTAAATCCCTCACAAAATACACAAGGAGTTATCTAGAGGAAATACAAAAATAATTTAAGAAAGAAATTTTTACTTTAAAAGTTAAAACTTGAGATGTTGCATTTAATTGTCTACTTACTTAC